TATTATTTTTAATCTTTATTTATAAAGATTATCTCCACTGTCAATTTACTATATTCATTCCACACAGATGTACCTCTTATCAGTTTTGTCCCCCTACTCCCTCATAGGCCAATTTCCCATTGATGTTTGAGTCTTTTACAAATAGGTTAGTTGAACACAGGAAAAAAAAACGGAGAATTCAAGTACTGGAGAATGGCCTATATGCAGGAGTGGTGCTCTCAGGAGGCTTTCTTCAAGGAAGGCTCAAGAGAAATGGAAATAGCAGACAACAGTTTATATACATACATACATACATACATATCTATCTCAATCTGTGTATTTCTGTGCTCTCTAAATTAAATTTTACTCTGTGATATGTGTTTCACATCACAGTTATCATGCAGCTTGAAACAGTAAGCTAAAATGAGGAGTACCCACAGCATGCTTAAGAAAAAGACATCTTGTAGAAGTGAGAACTAGTCCTACGCCTTTTGCATCTGCCCCAGAGAATACAAGTTGCTCTGAGGTTTGTGAAATCATCTGGCATGGGAAATGGAAAAGAAACTTCAAAAGAAAGGCAGTGCTGGAGCCCATTCATACCAAGAAGTATTTTAAACAGCATGGAGGGCTATCACTTATGACACAAGTAACAGTCATCTTATTCACCAATGTTATAAGAAGACCTAACAAAACACCCAATGAAAGCTATACAAAAATTAAAGCATAACAACAAAAAAAGAAAGGCTGGAAAAATATGGTAAAAGCATTACAAGAAATACACACCAGTTGTCTACTAAATGGTAAAATGTCATAGTGTATAGGTTAAAAAAGAAAACCTAAGATAATAGGAACCACATATTCCATTAAAACACTGATATTTCAGTGCATGATTTGACCTTAGCAGCAGAGACAAAAATGAGTGCTCCTGACCACATGACATATTTTATTAATTTTTCCTTTAATGAGTCAGAAGATCTCTGCCAAGATTAACTTGCAAAAGCAATACTGAGTAAAGCCATAGAAAACTTGAAATAGTTATGAAATATTAAAACGTGTCTTCTTTTTGTAACTACTGCTTTGAACAATTCAAGATAAATGCAAAAAGACAGTTGTACAATCTTATTTCAGAATGTAATTCTAAAGACATTCTACCACTAGAGAGCTCTAATTCAAATTTGAATTATCAGAAAGGTAAGAGAAGTGGCTTTTACAACTGGAGACCATAGACAAACATATGTGTTAATTTCTTTGTTCATAAAGTTAAAAATATATCCAAAATATGGGTGTGTATTTTGACAACACTGAAACTCAAATGTAAACATCCTGTTAATTCCTGCTGTGTTCCATTTGTTGACAGCAGTTGACTCCTCACAAGCACTTGGAAAGACTAAACTAGGTCTGCTCCTCCCCAATTCCAGGATGCAAAACCTCTGGCCACAATTAAAACAAACAAAATTTCAACAACAAAGAAAATTCTCACTTGGTTAAGAGAGAAGGCAACATCCATTATCCAAAAGGAATCCAACTGAACAAGTTAATTATTCCGAGATGACAAATTTTACTGCTATGTAAATATGCAATTAAAAAAAAAATGCACTGTCATTAACACAGTCCTTTTTTCATTACTAAATTTGGAATGGTGTCAAGCCAGCTAATAACAATAAACATATTTTGCATTTCAAGGTTAAATAAATTGTTCTATTCTTATAGCAAACATGACCACACTGAACTGCTGCCAAAACATTTCTGGGACTAGCGCTCAGAGGCAGAGGTCAAATCCTTCAACTATATAGTATGAGATGGAGGACAAAGACTATATACTGAAAAACAAATATATGTGAACATGAACTTTGTCTATCACAATTAACACTTACTGTGTGCCTACCACCCATTATTTTCAGCCATTACTAACCCTACAGAAACCTACTTAGTGCTTGTGTTTCTCTCATATAAGGGAAAAAAAAAACTTATAAGAGGATGCCAACACAATCCTAATAACAAGTATAATAATCATAAGTAAACCTGCAACAGACCTTCAACCATAAATAGTATGGTATAAGAAAGGAACTGTAAGGAAACCAAACAAAAACAAACACTCCCCCCTCACCTTCTGGATTGTATTTAATTTGGGGTGGGGATAAGTGCTCACAGCAGAAGCTGGAGAATGCCTCTTAGAAGATGATGAATATCAAGGGGGTCATGAAGGTGGCCACAATGGTCCCCTCATCCTTTTTATCCACAGTTATGCCAAGCCAGACTCACTTTTTCTCATTTGTAATGATCCGTATTCTCCATAAGTAGCTCCAAAACTACCTGTTAAGTACATGTATATATTCTTTATGTATATGTATAGTGTTAAATACCACAGTTTGATAGTAAGATTTTTTTAAGTCCTACATGCTTGGAGGTTGTCTGTATCACCCTCAGGACACAGTCTAAAAATAGCACACACTTAACTGAAGTCTAACTTCATCTCAAAGTATGAATGCTACCTACAAGAAATACCCATACCAAGTTTTATTAATTCTCAATTCTTTTCCATAAATGCACAATCGTAGCTTTATACTACACGTATCCACTATTTCTCGCAGGTTTTCTTCTTTCAGAAGAAAAACGTCTACCTGCAAGAAATAATGGATACACATTGTAATGTCATGATCACAGAGGAACCAATCTCTTCTTTCAGAGAAAAAAAAAAGAACTGTCATGAAATCCCGTTTCTGTTGGTTAGAGACTACAAAAATGTCATATATGCTCTTGAGGCAGGCGCTGTGCTAATATTTCATTATAAAAGTTGTTACAGGCTTCTTTTAAAATTGAAGCTTGTTCTCTATAAAGTATACCTGAAGTGAACTTAAATAACATTTAAATTAACTGAAATCACTAATACTTACAGTTCATGTATAGCTGAATTAAACCCAAAAAGTGGTTTAAGTTTCTTGATATGAACCCCAGTCAGTACTCAGCATCTTAACAGTTATAATTCTGTATTTATTAGAATAAACCAGACCGATCTATATGACTCGGTCACCTGAGTATCACTAGCAACCTAACTAGATAGAAGTATCTCTTTTGTAACCATCTCCATGAAAATGCAACTTTTGTGTCTTCTTGGAAAACTAATCAATGAATTGCATTTATCACTCCTTAAAGACAGCCCTCCTACTGCAGAGTATTCACCCCAGCAAGGCCTTTAATAGAGGCAAACCACCATCAGAAAGGTCTGCCATTTGCCACCATTCTATTCTTTAAGTCATATTTTCAGACACTGATAGCAGAAATTTGATAAACTGATACAGTTCTAACAGATGACACCATCACATCAGAGGGTTGACAAATTTCAAGTATTGGAAATTAATTTTTTTCACTTTATCTTCAGTGTTAGAAGTGTAATTTAAAAAGTCTACCTATCCTTACTCAGGAATACATCTTTTGAAAGGTAACGAGTATCTGAAAGCAAACCTCAAATTGACTGTTTTGTAATGTGTGAAGTTATTTACTAGTAATTATTTGCATCAGCCTCTCAGAATCAGTCAACAACTCTGAAACCTAAAAAAATAAGCATGTATGCAACAGCCTGCAGTCGAAGATTACGTTAAAAAATAGTAACACAAGGATGCAACTCCACACAACCCTTTTTCACTAGGATGGCTGACAGAATAAAAGACATCTACTGACAGATACTCATACCACAGTGTAATCAGCTGATCAGGATGTAACAATGTGATTAGAAAGATAGAAGCCAAAGTCTCCTTGCCCTCAAACCTATACGTAAGCTGGACAACTACTGAAATGTCACCACGCTTCATCTCCCCAGAGCAGTGACACAAACGCCCACGGACAGCCCACACAGTTGCGGGTACTCGAGGCGGGAAGGAGCTCCCGAGCGCGCTGAAGGTCACGGCAGCCGTGGCGCCTGCAGCCGTCGGCACAGCTCCCAGCCAGAGCCCAGCACCTGACTGCACTCTAAGCCCAGTATCGAACATAATTTCCGTCTACATTACCGCGGTGAAAAGAGTTCTGCCACCGGCAACACCAGAGAGGAAGGGGGACCCCTTACCTGCCCCGCTCCTGGGGGTTTCGCCACACGGGCCGGCGCCGCCCGCCCGCCCAGGCCCCGCGCTCCTGCGCC